CGGCGCCCCGGCTCGTCGTTTTACTCGTTGTTTTATTCGAAGCGAAGCTTTTTTTGAAAAAAAAAATAAAGTGCTGGTATTCTTCTCTGTCTTCCGCTGCTGCAGTCAAGGACCACGTGAGGACTTAATAACTTTGCTTAGTCGCGACCTTATTGCGAAGAAGTTTGAACATTTTTTAAACTAATCTTTAATTTGATGGGAAATCTTTTATTATTAGCATTTTTCATTCATGGCAAAAAAAAAAATGATACAGCTGTTTTAGCAAGCAAATGAAGAACTCAGAAAGAGGGAAGCGGCGGCGAATGATGATGATAATCAGTTATCAACAGAACAAGCTGAAGTAAACGGTACCGCTACGAATAGCAAAGGAGCTGCAAATATTGCTTCCTCTACGGCCAGCGAGGGCGGAATTGAGGAATTCGAAAAAAGTGGTATTGAGAGGAAAAGTACCACTACTACTGATGACAGAAATGCTACCAACAACGATACTATAACTGTAATCGATGGTGATGATGGTGAAGCTAACGAATCCGTAAGGAAAGCTGATGCTACCGGTGACACTGAGATTTGCACAAGAGACGACGACTGTGATAAGAAACAGGTAGCCAGCTCAGTAGCTATCCCCTAGTTAAATATTGTTTACTTTTTTTGCATATTTGCCTCTCATTGTTTACCGGTTTCTGTGGAGAATTCTCCTCAAACTATGCATCTGACAACTTTTCCACTCGCCTCGACCAACGCTCAGCGTCCGGTGATCAGCCGCCGTTACACCACTTCACACTCATTTGTTATGTGTAAATTGAGGCATCTCTCATAATTTCCCTTATTTTGACTCTTCTAGCTTAGTCAGTGTTTACAGGCGGGAAAATAATGTTTGATTTGAGATTCATCGTTTTTTAAAAGAAATAGAATGAGCGAGGAAAGGGGTGTACACAGAGGCATTTCTCATAATTTTCTTATTTAGATTCGATTGGCTTCATCAGTTTTGATTCTACTGGTTTTTTTTTTTTACTTGTATGAGAGGATAATGCTTGATTTGAGATTCACCGTTTTTGGAGGAAATAGAATAGAAGGGGTGGGGGAGGTAGAGGAACGAAAGCGCTAAACATCCCCTAGAGCGTCTGATCATCTAATGGCTTTCTTCAGGGTAATTTTAAGCTTTCAGAAAATTTTGCCAAATGGTTTAACAAAAAAAAAAAAGTGGAAAACAGTGCTTTGCTTGTTGTTCAGTGTTGTTTAAATGTGCTAAATAAAACGCTTCATTCTCATTAGTCTCCGATAGGATAGGTACAAAGATAATCGGTGTTCAACGTCAAACACGTGAAGTTCGCTTAAATCGATCAGTGGTGTAAACGTAGCTGTTTTGATGACAGGGCTGCATTTACGACAACGAGGTATTATTTAAATGCTTTTATTTGTTTTTCGCCAGTCATTTCTTTTAAATTTCCGATCCCCATAAATTATCTTTTGGCCTTTTCTTCTCCATACCATAGCCCATTATTCGGGGAGGGGGGAGGGGGAACAAACAATTCCGGTGTCTGGGAATACATCTGGGTAAGGCGGTAGACTTGGCGGGACAACAGTCTGAACTGCGCCCCCGTCTCTACTATATAAGAACCCCTTTTCCTCAGCTGGGATCCGTTTTCTTCATCTTCGGCACCACCTCATCTTCGACTTCGGGTTTTTCTTTTCGCCGTCAGCATGCGGTTCTCTTCGACATCATCTTATTCCCATGCCCTCAACAGCACTGGCTCTGAGCTTTCAGAACAAATCACTGACTAAAACGAGTCCCCCGGCAAACTCAATATTCCTCAAACAAATCATTCCCTCCTAATTAATGTGCTAACTGCTGACTACGTATAATGCCCCGCACTTCGCTTTTCTAGTTTTTATGATTAAATGCAATAACGTATCATAAAGAACCCTAAAATAATACTTCAGCTTGTGAGCTCCACTAGACCACGCCAAGATCAGGACCTCACCGGGCACGTCCTATATTTACTGTGGATTCTGGAGATTCTTTTGCAAAATCTACAAAAAAAAAAAAAAAGAAATACTGAATTTATTTCCTAAAATAACAAAGTTCTTTTTCCGAAAATCTTTGGTCCTTGGAATTAACTTTCATTTGTTGGGCATTTCTTTTCGGAAATGACAAAAGTATGTCTTATTTTATTTTCGATCCCAGTTTCATGCTTAAACTGTTAGCCGGTGGGTTCCACTTGGAAATTCAGCCCAAAGATCGGTGTCATTCTCCTTGAACCTCCCAGGAAGTTCGACGGTGTCCCGCCCCCAAACGTTCGGCGCCACATCGCACAGCTGGGTAAGACCGGGTCGGTTTTTATTTGTAATTGCCCCAAAACCTGTTCCGGTATCGGTGGGCCTGTGCGAGATGGGCCGAGCCGGGTTTTGGTGGCTGCTCCCCGTGATCTGTTCTGGTATCAGTGGGCCGGTGCGAGGTGGGCCGGGCCGGCTTTTGGCAGCTCCTTTAGGAACTACTTCGGCATCAGTGGGTGCGAGCGAGGCCAGAATCAGGATGTATATTTTTGCAAACCCTGGACGTCGCAAGCACTGCCGCTTCATTATGCGTTTTTGGTCACATGCAAATGCAAAATCGCATATTGGGACGGTCCAGGTGTGTGTGTGTGTGTATGTGCGTCTGTCGGGATATTTCAACTCGGCACCTAGGTAACCCCCGGGCGCCAAATTTTGCCAGTGGCTTCCCCGGCCAAGTGCCAACCCAGAACCGTGGTACCAACCCTTACGCAAGTATGGGACACGCGTACGAAGGGGTGAAAGTTTTGGCGGGAAAACCGCTAACTCAGGAACCGGGAAGCTAGAAAGCTGAAATTTTGAGGCTGTGTTCCCTGCCCGCACGGA